ATTGGCTACAGGTAGCATCAGATCGGCTGACTTTAGCATCAGATTGGCTACAGTTAGGATCATACTGACTGCCGTTAGCATCAGATCGGCTGACTTTAGCATCAGATTGGCTACAGTTAGGATCATACTGACTGCCGTTAGCATCAGATCGGCTGACTTTAGCATCAGATTGGCTGGCGTTAACGTCATATTGGCTGGCTTTAGAATCAAATTGGCTGGCTTTAGAATTAGATTGGCTACAGGTAGCATCACATTGGCTACAGGTAGCATCAGATCAGCTGGCTTTAGCATCAGAGTGGCTACAGTTAGCATTAGAATGGCTGGCTTTAGCATCAGAGTGGCTACAGTTAGCATCAGAATGGCTGGCTTTAGCAACGTATTGGCTGTCGTTAGCATCAGATCAGCTGGCTTTAGCATCAGATTGGCTACAGTTTGCATCAGATCGGCTGGCTTTGGCATCAGATTGGCTACAGTTAGCATCAAATTGGCTTGCATTAGCATTAGATTGGCAGGTGTTAGCATCATCATCATTGAATTAGCTTGTATCAGCATCAGAGAGGCTGGCGCTAGCATCAGATTGGGTGGCGTTAGCATGGGATTGGCTGGTATGAGCATCGGATTGGCAGGCATTAGCATTATATCAGATGGCGTTAGCGTCAAACGGGCAGATGTAGCATCAGATTGACTGGCATTAGCATCAGATCAGCTGGCATTAACATCAGAGGTGTTAGCATCGGTTAGGGTGGCATTAGCTTTGGATTGGCTGACCTCAGCATACGATTTGCCACCTTTAGCATCAGATTGGCTGTAATTAGCATAGGATCGGCTGACATTAGCATCGATTCGGCTGACATGAGCATCAGATGGGGTGGGGTTACCATCGGGTGGGCTGGTGTTAGCATTAGAGTAGGTGGCGTTAGCGTCGGATGGGCTGGCATTAGTGTATGATTGGGTGGCTTTAGCATTAGATGTGCTTACATTGGCATCAGACTGGCTGGTGTTAGCATGCGATTGCCTGGCATTAGTATCGAACCGGCTGATGTTCGTATCAGATTGGCTGGTTTTGGTATCGGTTGCCGTTGGCATTAGCATCAGATAGGCTGTCATTAGCATCTGATGGGCTAGCGTTAACATCGGATGGGCTGACGTCATCATCAGATCGACTGACGTTAGCATCGGATTGATAGATTAGCATTGGATCGGCTGGCATTAGCATCAAACCAGCTGGTGTTAGCATCAGATTGGCTGGCGTTAGCTTTGGATTGACTGGGCTTAGCACAGGATTGGCTTGCATTAGCATTGGATTGGCTACAATTATAATTAAGCCCAATGTCAGGCCCTTCTATGGCTAGAGTTAGCCACAGAATGGGCTGATATTAGCATCGATTCAGCTTACATGAGCATCGGTTGGGCTAGCATTAGTATCAGATGGGCTTAATTTAGCATCAGATTTGCTGGTACTAGCATCGGATCGGTTAGTGTTAGCATTGAACTGGCTGGTGTTAGCATCAGATTGGCTGGTGTTGGCATCAGATCAGCAGGCATTGGCATTAGCATTGGATATACTGGCCTTAGCACAGGATTGCCGTTGGCATCAAATGAACTGGAATTAGCATTGGATTGACTTGCATTGGCAATAGCATCAGATAGGATGGAGCTAATATTGGATAGGCTGTGCTTGGCATAGGTTAGGCTGCCGTTAGCATTGGATTGGCTGGCGTTAGCCCAGGATTGGCTGGCCTAAGTATAGGATAGTCTTGGATAGTCTTGCATTAGCATTAATTCGGCTGGTGTTAGCATCAGCTAACATTATTCCTACCGTTCACATTAGATTGGCTGCCGTTGCAGTGGATTGACTGGCATTAGCATCAGCCTTAGGCTAGGATAAGCAGGTGTTAGCCTCAGCTATGCTGGTATTAGTCTAGATTGATAGTCTGACTCCAGCTTGGGATTACAGAATGGCCTTAGTATAGAATTGTAGACTAGCATTAACCTAGGATTACAGGCTGGTCTTAGGCTAGGATATGCTGGTGTTAGTCTAGACTGATAGACCGACCCTAGCTTGGGATGACAGATTGGCATTAGCCTTGGATACGCTAGTGTTAGCCTTGAACAGGCTGGCATTAGCCTAGGATGGTAAACTAGCATTAACCTAAGCCAGTTTGGGATGATAGACTGTCATTAGCATAGGATTGTAGGCTGGCTTTAGCCTAGGATAGATTAATATGAACCTTTGATGAGCTAGCATGCCCTAATTGATAGGCTGGCACTAGCGTAGGTTGACGGTCTGGCTTTAGTTTTGGATTGGCTGGAATTAGCCTTGAATGATCGGAGAAACCAGCTAGTGAATATCAGAGATAACAGCCAACGAACATCAGAGAAACCAGGCAGGGAACATCGGAGATACCAGCAAGCGAACATCGGAGGAACCAGCCAGCGAAAATCGGAGAAACCATCCAGCGAACATCGGAGAAACCG